CATGCAAATTTCATGATTTCATCTTTCTTTACTGCTGAGTAAATCTCCATCGCATAAATGAATCACATTTTCAGTATCCACTCGTCAATTGAAGGACACTTAGGTTGCTTCCATCTCTTAGCTACTGTGAAAAGAGCAGCAACAAACATGGATGTACATGTGTCTCTGCAATAGGATGGGTTCTTTGGGTATATGCCAAGGAGTGGTATAACTGGGTCAAGTGGCGGGTTCATTTGTAGTTTTTTAAGAGTTTGCCACACTGCTTTCCATAGGGGTTGAACCAGTTTGCAGCCCCACCAGCAGTGGATGAGTGTTCCCCTTTCCCCACATCCTCTCCAACATTTGGTATCATTTGTTTTCTTGATCTTAGCCAGTCTGACAGGGGTAAGGTGGAATCTTAAAGTGGTTTGAATTTTCATTTCCCTAATTATTAGTGATGGTGAACATTTTTTTTTTTTTGGTCTTTTTGAGACAGGGTCTCCCTGTAGCCCCAGCTGTCCTGGAACTCACTATGTAGACCAGGCTGGCCTTGAACTCACAGAGATCTGCCCGCCTCTGCCTCCCAAGTGCTGGGACTACAGGCGTGCACCACCACGACCGGCTCGATTCTATGTTTTTTTGAGTTCGTTATATACTCTGGTTATTAAACCTCTGTCGGATGTGTCGCTGGTGAAGATTTTCTCCCATTCTGTGGGTTTTCTGTTCGCTTCCCTGGGTGCCTCCTTTGATGTACAGAAGCTTTTTAGTTTAATGAGGTCCAATTTGTTAATTCTTGCCCTTATTTCCTGAGCAATTGATGGCCAGTTTAGAAAATCCTTTCCTACACCTGTATCTTGTAGCTTTTTCCCAATGTTTTCTTCTAACAGATGCAGTTTCAGGCTTTACATTGAGGTCTTTGATCCATTTGGAATTGACTTTTGTGCAGGGTAAAAGATAGGGGTTTAGTTTCATTCTTCTACAGGTGCAGATGTCCTTCAGTGAGTATTCTTGGCCACTTTGTCAAGAATCAGGTAGTTGAAATTACATTTACTCATATTTGGGTCTTCAATTTTGTTCCATTGATCTATGGGTCTATTTTTGTGCCAGTACCATGTTGTTTTTATGACTACAGCTCTGTAATACAGCTTAAAATCTGGTATAGTAATCCCCCTGGCATTGCTCTTAGTGCTCAGGGTTGCTTTGGCTATCCGAGGTCTTTTGGGCTTCTATATGAATCTTAGGATAGTTGTTTTTTTTTTTCCAATTCTGCGAAAAATGTCATGGGGATTTTGATTGGCATTACATTGAATCTATAAATGACTTTTGGTAGGATGATCATTTTCACAATATTAATTCTTCCAATCCATGAGCATGGGAAGTCCTTCCGTCTTCTGATGTCTTCATCAATCTCTTTCTTTAAATACTTAAAATTTTCATTGTAGAACTCTTTAATGTCTATAGTCAGGTTTATTCCAAGATATTTTTTTTTTTTGCAGCTATTGTGAAGGGGAGTGTTTCCATGTGCTCTTTCTCTGATTGCTTGTTATTGGTATATAG